ATAAGAGCATATTAACAAGTGAAGGTGACTGAGGAGTGCCAAGATAGAGAGAAAAATACGATAGATACCACAATCATAAAATAGTGAGAAACAATATTTCGATTCGGAGTCCTGTTTCACAGAGCGCCTTCAACCGCGCAGCCGATTGTTTAGCTTGTACGCACCCGTCCTTTTTAGCTCAAATTTGTGGAGGACATCCGAGCAACATACCAAGCCCAAAACGTTTCTCTTGAGAATGTGTCTTTTAAAGACTACTAAACTTTTTTAGACGTACTAAAAGGAGCCTAAAACGACAACTGCAGAAAAAATGCAATTTGTTTCTCACATTTCCCTATTGGAAAATGTTTTACATGTCTTTACGTTTTCAGGTTATTAGGTTTCTTCGATTTTCCCATTGAAAAATGTTTCCCGCCTTTTCCGATGGGAAAACGTTTTACATGTCTGTAGGTTTCTGGGTTTCTACGGTCTTAGGTTTTCTTGATTTTTAGGTTTCTTCCATTTTCCCATTGTAGGCGCGAAAGAGCACGGTTTATGTAAATAATCTATCTCTGTTGGTATTGTTAGAATGTAATAGAAGTTTACTTTAGTAACTTTTTCTGTTTCAACAGGAGTGATATGTTGAATGGCACAGAAAAAAAGAGAAATAAATCACAATCATCAAAAAAGAATCTAAAAGATTACCGGACTCGATATGGTCTCAGATTCGACATTTTGGAGGACTTGGAGTTGGCTCGGACTCGCCCATGCCTGGAGTTTTCCTTAGAAATGGGTATATCGGAAAAAGCCAGGAGAAGAAAGGAAATGAATATGCAGAGGAACATTGTTTGTTCAATTTTATCGAGACTTCTTTGGACTTACCTAGGTAAGCAAAAAATTACTGAAGACGGCCGTCATGACTAGTCCGAAATGTCCGTATAACCCATCTAGACTAGTCTGGAGTGTCTCTTCGACCCATCATGACTAGTCTGTTTTGTCTGCTATACCCGTCTAGACTAGTCCAAAGAAAAGAAAGATGACATAAATAATTCCATAGTCTTAGTTAGAACCATTACACCGTTTGCGCAAAGAAACTGACGCCCGGACCCTACAATGTTATCAATGGTAGCTTTATGAAGAAACTTAGATATGAAATGTAGCCGGTAGCAAGAAATTGGAAAAATTGTCCTAATAATTACAATTTTTCCACCGGAAAGATGTGAGTTTGAAACTGAAGCTAGGTGGTATTTGAAATCCACCTGAAAAACGAATTGAACGATGCATATTGCAGGAGAAAGAATTTTTTCGAAAACTTTCTGCTTGGCTCAAACATGCAACCATAGACTCAAATTTTTAGAAAAAAGTTTTTTGCTCAGAACTATTTATTCGGAAATTATGATAAGGTTTCAACGAAGACCTAAATTTTTTCGAGAAATATTCTTCATGTATACTAAAAACTAGCATGCAGAAACTGATAGATAAACTGATGGTGCATGGCTTAGTTGGTTCAATCGCAGGTATGTAAAATAAAATGCAACTGCAATTTTCCGTAGAATCTTTGGATTTTTTTGTAGTCCACGTAAATTGCCAGCGACCGAACATTCGCACAAAGCTTATTATTGACGTTTGATACATAGATAAAACCCCTGTTTGTAATAAATATTTTGGTCTAAATCCAGGTTGATCTTCCGGTAAAATATGACTGAACTCGACCCGATTTTTTATTCGTACTAATAAAATTTTCTCGTATATTTTTGAGTGTGTTGAAAGTAACTGAGATCGAACGAATTTGATCCGTGCTGGGTATACCTGCCCTAGTGAAGCTTTTTTTCTCAAGCACATGAGCAAGCACATACCTCAAGATTTGTCTCCATGCACATGAATTTCTTACTCATGCAATTCTTACTCATGCAAAACGCTTGAGGTATGTGCTTGACTTTCTTGTCTCATGCGCTTGAGTTGCTTGAAGTATGCGCATGAGGGGAGAAATATCTAAAACAATGTGCATACCTCAAGAAACTCAAGCGCATGAGACAAGAAAGTCAAGCACATATCTCAAGAAAGTCATGCGTTATCGATTTTCTGCGTTGTAAATAGCTCTAGCTTCGTGTTTTAGACTTGATTACATCATTTTTTACTCGGACTTTTCTTCGAGAACATGATGCAATCAGTTTTTTAGTCTTATCCACCATCTGGCACTCTCACTATACCATAATCTTTATCTACAAAGGAAAAGAAGTCATTTTCAATGAAAAGTTCATGACAGTTCAAAGCGAGTACACAGCAATTTTGAGTTTCTACTAAACACGAGTACGATGCTGAAAAAATAAACTTAAACAGTTTAATATTAATTTTTCACTTTGTTTTCATTATCATCTCGTTAAAAAGCTCACTTATAGGTCAAGAGTAGTCGAATATGTGTGGAAATATTTTCTCTTTTTGAAACTGTCAAAAAAGAAAGTGAAGACGTAAGAGTATTGATGATGATGAAGAAACTCCCGAATTTAACTCTTACGTTTTCACACTGTCACGTAAAAGACGGATGGTCGAACTAAAAGAGGATCGGTGTAGAAAAGAGCACTAACCCTGATTAAAAATAAAAATAATCGATCAAGATGTGTTCCGGTCAACCAAAATTTTTGATTTCATAGATGAAATGAATAAACTTGTCTTTTCTAATAATCCTCGCAAAAACCCTACATATAAAAGAAGTTTACGTTTTTGGCAGGCAATAACATATGGTTGGATGGTTCAATGTGGTTCAAAAATTGCACATCGGACAATGCCATTATCGATGAGTGAGGTTTAGGCAGTGAAGCCACTCAACTATCATATCTGTATGATTTGACATTTGACCAAGAAGGAAATCCGTATATAGCAGATAATAGAAATTACCGTGTCCAAATGTTCACTATTGACAAACAAAGCACCAAAACAAAGTGCTATTAATTGAACGATGAACATTTGTCTCTATCTTCGTCATACAGTGTCGTCTTCAAGTAATGATGAAACAAGGAACGAAATCACTGTTATATATAATATAAATATTGATATTAGACTATGCAAGCAAGTAGACCGAACACTCCGCTCTGTTCTGACTATATATTCGAATGAATGAAAAAAATGAAAACACAGATACATATATAAAAGCACAATCTACTAACAAAGAGAAAATAACTTTTACAACAGACTTATGATGAAACAGTTGCCTCATTGAGATTGTAATTAATAACCGTTATGTAGATAGTGTTGAATGTTCATTTTGTATTGTTTTAAGGCAGACATTAGTTCTTTTTTATACATTTCAGATGGTATAATAAAGATGAGTAATGTCATGGCAAGCGGTAAATAAGAGGTAAAATAACCTACTAAATAGATGTATGATGGTTCACGTGTAGACTTCATACATGCAAATAGAAACGAAATGATGAGACGTGGTAGCGCTAGAATAATGAGACAAATAGGACTTATAATTAAATGTTTATATTTAATCAATTGTTCTTTAAAAATATCATGATAATTCTGATTTGTTCGAACAACTGATCGAGAACGAGCACTTTTCACCACAATGACAAGAGCTGAGACAAAATTAACAATAAATGGAACTATAAAATGGAATACATTTATAGCTGAATTATAATATCTTAACCAGGGTCGATTAGTATAACTGATAGCACACCATGTTCGCTCTTCAATTGGATCATCGATGAGACGACGATAGATTGGATCATGAACAAAGCTAATCATGTTAACAAAAATAATACTGATAGATAAATATTTGGCTAATGTAACACTTCCCTTTTTGTATGAATTGAAATTAGCGCCTAATGTGACACTAACAGCTCTTTCAATTGCTACCGTTGCAGTTAACCATTCAGCAGAAGTAGGCAAACATTTCAGTAAATATTCCCATATAATACAATTAATAGTAACAGCAGTACGATTTGTATTTACTAAAATTTGTGTCGTTAGTAAATACCAAAATTTAATTGTTAGAATAATCATAGATAGCAAAGAGACAACAGAAGAAAAAAACAGATAAATACCACAACCCAATTCTTGCGTCTTCTTTTCACAAAATGTTATTATTGATAGAATATTACTAATTAAACCAAAAGCGAACATAACAGTCACTATTCCGAGGGTGAGTTTAATGACAAATGTTTGTTTTATAATTTTAACGGTTGGTTGAATATGTTGACCAATAATGGTATCTAATGATAAGCCAAAACCTGCAGTTGTAAATTGACATTGACCTCCATAATAACAGTCGGCACACAAACAAAGTAAGCGATTAGGACAAAGTCGATGCTCCTGCACGCATTTAGCACCATTTTCACAATAACTAATATCAGAACATTCCGTTAAATCATGATTAAAACGAAAGCATTCAGCGAAATGTTCTTCGTTGCAAAGACACATCGATACTTCGTCATAAAAGCATTTAACTTGCTTTTGTAGACATGGTAAATGATAATACTTTACACGTTTCAAATATTGATACGAGGCACGTGTACTACTCAGTATTTCCTTAACATGTGGGCAACGATTCTCTGGTTTGACGATAGTAGTCACATTTGCTAGTCCTTCTTTCAATAACATGATCAAATAATAATGATTTTTCAAAATATTTTCATGAAATACATGCAAATAAGCAATCTGCGGAAGGTAGGGTTCGTCATGTACTGTAACCCGTACGGTAAGATCGTATTGATGCACAGGAATTCGTTTGAACACAATAAATTGATACGGCTCTTCTCTGTTCAAAAACTGAAGAAAGTGGATTATGGCTGAAGAAGGTACAGGTATACCAAACAAAACATGCAAAGTGGGTGCGTGTGCTGCACAATCTATACCATAATAACCTTCTGCACAAATACAAATAAATTCAACTGATCTTAAATCCACCTGGATACATGTCGCTCCATTTTTACAAGAACCTGAGAGGCAATTGAGTGTTCCACTACAGGTTTGACCGTTCTTTCCACTTGCGCACACACAAATTGGTGAAAGATCACTTCTACTGCGAGTAACATGGATCGAATCATCAGTACATTTCCATTTGTCTTTCACATCACACAACATACCCTGCCACCCATTATAACAACGACAATACTCTCTGTCACTATTAATGTATTTAACACAATAGCCATTATTACACATTACTTTTTTGCATGATTCTATGGTGACTCCCTTTTCTGGAACATTTAAGATGCCAGAAAGGTGATTAACAGGTAAAAATGGGAATAAGACTTCGAAATACCAAGAAGCCAAATAATGAATTCCATCATTTTTTACATAATCTTCACCGAATGCTTCAATACGAACATAGAAATCTGTTATTGCGAGTCTGGGGTACGGATAAACTAATGTTCTTAAATGCTTCGAACTACAACTCTTGGTATAATGAATTATTCTCTCATAAGCGAGTACAACACCCGTTTTGGACTCAATCAGTTGAACAATGAGCGTGATAATCGAATTTTGTTGAGACGCAAGAAGTGCTTTAACTTTGACACTTATCATAATGTATTCTGCTTGATATTGACAACGATCCCCATAATACATTTGAGGACAAAGACAAAAATCTCTATTAGCAGAATGAACAAGAATACCTCGATTGCAGTACCATATTAAACGATAAACCGGATCGTTATCTGATTGAACAGCATATTCGATTGTGATCTGTTTATTCACATTGCCTTTCTGAGAAATGGCATCCTTTTTATGACCTTGGTGAATGTATTTCCTGGTAGCTAGCTGTATCGTTGGATATTCAACAAAATTTTTTGTGTCAGAATAGTATAATGTTGGTTGATCAATAAGATCACACAGCCACTCGTCTTCTCCTTTTTTACAGTCATACTCGTTGTCACACCGTGATTCATATGGTATTATTGAGCCATCTTTACATACAAAATAGTTCTGTTTACATTTATATTTATCTATCCATGTACAAATCTTTTCATCATCTTCATCTGGACAGTCGTATTTACAGTCACACAATTTTAATGGACTTATACATTTATCACTGTTGTTACAACGATATCTCAAATCAGTATTACGTGAATAATTTTTACGACAAAATTCTCTTTCATCTGATGAACCTAAACAGTCAGTTAAATTATCTCCAGCAAATGTAGCATTTAAACATTTGATTCCATCCAATGTTATACAGTAATGTTGATAATTCCTACAATGCTTTTCAGATAATGAATCTTCACAATCAAGTTCATCACTTCCATTTTTACAGCTCCAAGTACGGTCACATATTGTATATTTCGTCTCACAAGGCCAACTTTCACAGTTCATCTCATCTGTTTCTCCATCAGACTCATACTCAACGATACCATCACAAATTTGTTCAAACATCATTCCTTCATTTTGATTGGTAGTATTTCTAAAATATTTACAGCCTGATACCAAGTCCGAATTACACGACGCGGGAAAACGTTCGTCGGACCTATCTTCACAATCGTTCGTGCCGTCCATCAATAATTTTCTTGATATACAATCTTGTATTGTTGAGCATTGAAAACGATTGGATAAATTAAAGGAACAGGCGACAGCAGTAATTTCATCTGTTGAATTATAACAATCAATTGATCTATCGGATAAACGATGTTTCGAAATGTAGTTAGTCGTGTCCTCACATTTAAATAAACTTGAATTATAACTCGATGTTAAGCCGGGAAGAGAACACGCTTTAAATATATTCTGAATTGCTTGAATTAAATCATACCATTCAAATTCTTCAGAGGCTAA